TTGTGGGAGAGGCCTCGGTCACCCGAGACCGGGGATGCTGCGGGGTCAGCGTTCGGACACCGGCGTGGCGCCCGTGAGACCTGAGGAGGCGCAGAATACGCCTATCCCGGGAGAGGCTCCTCAGTCACCTCTGAGGCGGACATGGCCGTCTCAGATCATGTAGGGGTGAGACCGAGTACCCTAGCCACCTGTCCATCGGGGCAACATGACACTACCGCTCCAGGTGATCTGCCTAACATCTCGACACCCAGATGATATCTGCGGATAGCCTAGTCCGAGCTGAACAGAACATGGTGAATGGGTGAGTGAAGGCCCTACACCGGCTTGGGGTCATCGGTGTAGAGCATCCTGTAATACGATGCTTTGGTAGCTCGGGCTATTGATCGCACATTGTTGCGCGCAATAAATCACGTATAATCAACTATTATTGTCGGTACCACGACAATGGTGTAAGCAAATTACAAACTCGAGCGATGTACTATGAACAGGTGATTAAACGAGTGTAGAGAGTATGACGGATTATGAAAGAGATAGCGGAGCCATAGCAATTGAGAGCAGCATTACGAAAGCGATAGCACGGACTTGCAATGGACAATGAATGAGCAGCCTATTCCTCACGAAGATCATGAGCAAAGTTGTCGGCTGCGTCGTCCGCCAAGGCTTGAAGCTGAGACGGCGCAGACGTTGCATCCTGTCCACGGGCATCCGGCAAGGATGGCGAACCAAACTCTTTCATGTCCGCATTCAGTATAGCCATGAAGACTCTGAGATTAACAGTCAGACACGTAGAATGGGAGACAATTCGCTGAATGTACTTTGTTATCATGCGGGCGTCAGTAGCCTGAGGATATTTGGTGCGGATGGTCTCAAGATGTGTATCCACACGATCCCAGTATTGATTGATGTTGAATGTAGGTATGGACAGAACCTCGATCAGCACCTGCCGCTGTCGAAACTGTCAGTACCTGACGCGCGGCGAACAAAGATGAGAGTGTAAGTCGCACCAACAGAGCTACACGAGCACACAGCTCTAAAGTCACTTGAACTCGAGTACCTGCAAGATGCGCAGCGATGCTCTCGCACAACGTCATGATGTCAACGCGCGCAGCAGCGGCCCGGCTCTTGGCAGTCGCACTAGCAGATAGCATCTCCGGTCCGAGGCTGAGCCACACCTGTATTCAACTAGTTCAGTATGTGGATAGTTGGCGCAATGATAGCCTTCGGAGTCGAATGATACAGTAAGTGGCTGGCTCGGCACTCACCATACTCTTCAACTCTGCACGCCGGTCGGTCAAGCGGTCTGTTATACGCTTCAGTACGATCAGATTCTTGTGTGTGTTGTTGCGAATTTCAGTCGTATAGCCCCAATGTGTATGACGGTCGAATAACGTCTGTATTTGCGTTCGTCACCAGCATGATATACGCAGGATGTATTATATCACACATACCTTGATGCACTTGTTCGGTGTTGAGTGCCTGACATACGCCGGTAACAGCGGTGAGACGATCACTAAATAGCTGTACACCTCAATCTTGTCCTGTTCAATGTCAACGATCAGCTGCCTTGAGATTGAAGATAACGATTCGGACATGCCTTCACCCCCCTCGGCAGAGTCCACTGAACCTCTGCAGGCTGTATAGTCTCCAGTTGTTCTTCGTGCTTGAGCAAGCGTGCCGAAATCCATAAAGTCCGCTCAGACAGAGAGAGCTGTTACCAGTGTCAATCAGATATATGGGCCCGCCGTCAAGCTTACGTGAGCACGTACCACTGCATTAGCATCAAGTTCCTTCTGCGCCGCTGGCCTGAGGCGAACTCGGCGACCGACCTGCTTAGCAAATTCCACAAGGTCCTCCTCTGCCCGTCGCTTGTCGCCGAGGGATGGGTTGCTGACAGTGGTCAACGGAGACTCGGATGCGACACTGGTATCATCATTGTTGCTCGCTGTAGCATTGCCTGCTGAAATCGCTGCAGGGCCAGTGATAGGAGGAAGGTCCACCGTGTTGGATGATGGACTGACCGGTGGAGAGCTTCCGACAGCAAGCATCAGGTCCACAAGCTGCGACATGAGGAAAGAAAAAGAGAGAAAAAGGAGAGAATATAGAGGGATGGAGGAAAGGCGACTGTCGTCCGAGTCAACACAGAGAAGACTTTTAACTGGATGAGCGACAATCACGTGCAGAACCAAGACCCCCGAATTTGGGCCATTGAGCTGCAGAAAACGTAGCAATTGCATCCCGCTGAACATATGCCAGCCCAAAGGACAGATCTGCATGCAGATGGTGAATGTTGTTGCATCACAGATGTGCGAGGTGCTTACCAACGGTGCCAGGATATTTTCTTCCTGTCCAGGATGATCCGAGTTCATGGGAATGTAAGCCCTGCACCGCACACACAGGTCAGTTCACGTCAGTAAAGAAGAACGGAGCAAAGCGACATATCGAATCCAAGAAACACCATGAGTCTGTTGCAGCATTACTCGAGAAAGAACATACTGAAGCCCATCCGAATCGCCGCGATGACCTGGCGGCCTGCCAGCCACCAGCCAAGATGTTCCTATCAGACGTGTTTATGGGTCCCGAGGCTCAGCAGAATGAACAGAGCGACGAGAACATACCTCGGCACAATCCTCTCGATGACATCTATGTCGATGGTGATCAGATCATGGACCATGCGGGTAACGAGGTCACCTTCTCAGCAGGCTCAGCTCCATGGGAGACGGAGCCTATGCGGATTCGAGCCGCACTAGAGAATCTGTTGGATAACCCGTACATTGAGCATGGACACTGGGGCGCAAGGGCAGCAGGGATGAATGACACGGACCTTGCCGATGAAGCTGAGGCAAATGACGAGGACCCTACAGTCGCAGATGCAGTGGCTGAATTGTACCGTGCAGGTAGATACCGCTTCTCACAGAGTCAACAACATGTAACTAACCTGCTGATGCATAGGCCTCTCTGACGATTTTGATGATGACAGTGGCTGGCACGGGGAAGACTTTGACGCGAGTCTAGGGCAAGAGTACGTGGCAAATGATCCACAATGGCAGCCATATGGTTCGAAAACAGTATGTTGCTATGGACAGAACATTGGAGATAATCACTGGCTCACACGTAGTCAGATGTTCATTCTCGACCTTCTGGACAACTTACCACGATTACGGCTCTCCGATGATCATCTCAAAGTCGTCATCTGGGCATTGAAGGAGTGCGGAGCCACGGATGTTCCATCATTCCATTCACTACGAACGAAGCAAGCACAGCTCACCAAAGAAGTGAACATCAAGACCACGCACCATACATCAGCCCAGGAGAACCATTTCTACGCCACTTGTCCATCCGAGACAAGCCGTCTTGTAAGTACAGCGAGGACTTGGGGTGCTTCCGAGTCCCAAGTCAACGCACGACGCAACTGATCATGTTCTTGATCTTCTGTAGGACTTTGCCAACCCTCTTGTGCGGCCGCATATGAAGTTCCTGCCCCGCGTGGGCACGTCAGTCTCAGAGTTCAGAGATGGGGAGAAATGGCTCAATATGAATGAGGATGCACTTGAAAGAGGCCAGCTCATGTGGATGGACGAGAAGAAACCGCACCGACATTTCTATATCAAGGAACTCGCGCGGCTGCGTGACGGACGCTACGTGATGCCGCTCCGATTTGTGGAAGATAACGAAGTGGATTGTCTTGATGGCTTCCTCGTTGTCCATTATCCTGCGGTATGTCAAGTGGTCCGTGGATAGTACTTGAAAGCACGAATTCACCAAATATTGAATAGACCGGGATATTCGTCGTCCGTAGTGAAGAGTTGATCCGTGTGGCGGCGGAGGAGCTGCAAGACAATGTGGTTGAACTGCAAAACCAACTGAATATACAATTTGACGGTGAGTCTTGCTCGCACACACCATAGATCATTCACCGCATGGCGGCGGCGGCGCTGACAAGCTTTCTAGCTCTAGCGCCACTGTGGGTCCGGGATGTACGACATCCAGTTCGCGCGAAAGCTGCCAACCGGCCAACGTTCACAGTGCGATTGATGGCATGGTGCGATGATGTATCTGGAAATAAAACGAAGCAGTACAATGCCCACACGAACGTCTATGTTGCGAACATCAATCTCCCGCATGAAAAACTGAAACAAGAGTACTTCGTTCGCTTTTGTTCGACCTCACAGCATGCATCGTCCGCAGAACAACTAGAAGGGCTCGCTAAAGATACGTGAGTATTCTATCATTCTCCACAGCTTGAAAGGCAACAATACGTGCATACTGAAAATACACAGGGGCCCTGACAAATGGCATGCAGCGTACGATTGCAAGCTTCAACAGGAAGTCTTGTTCCGGATCATCCCACATGTCTTCCCCGCAGATAATCCACAGCAATCTGAGCACTGTTCGCACATTGGTGGGAACGGCAACAAGCCCTGTCGATCTTGCAAGATTGGTGGTACCGCAGAGGAGCGGGAAACAGACGAGATCTATGAGTCATTTTTCTCAGTGAGTAGTCGTGATTCCGAAGATCATAGATATGATTCTCACCTATGGCCCTAAGTCAGGACCTCATCGCACCACGGAATGGACAATCAGTCAAATCGAGTCACAGCTATGGATTGCAGGTCTTGGCGTGCAGAATACGGTCGATCTCATGCAGACGAACACGGGGGTGAAAGATAAGACCGCCCAATACTGGATCAACATCCTGATTAAGAAGGCGCGTGCACTGCAGCACGAGCGGATAACAGCAGCGGCGACAAGGGACCCACGCTTGAACGATCGTACCTACAGCCGTGACGCCGAGGCCAAACAGGCTGTAAAAACGACAATCAACCGTGAAATACAACAGGAGTTGCACGATTGGCTTGTCCAACAGCCTTCACACAGCTACGACACGCTCCCAGCCGATTCCCGTACGTCTCTTTCAATGCACCACAGAGCCACCTGGCGCTCACCTCAAGTCCTGTGATCGCAGCACTTCGTGATAGGCTGCGACCAGGAGATCACTATAATGTCCTGCTTGGGCTCCCGGGCGTTGAGATTCATTTCGATACACCCGGTGAGATTTTGCACACTTACTTACTCGGACAGGAGAAGTACGTGTGGCACAAGACGACCTCACCCTGGGACAAGAAGAAGGACGAACTCTTTGCGGCACGGCTTCGGGGTTCCTCGGTCGATGGTTTGACCTTGCCACCTCTGCGAGCAGAATATTTGCTTCAATATAAGAACTCTCTCGTCGGGAAGCACTTCAAGGCGTTGCAACAGGTCGGGGTCTTTCATTTACATGATGACCTATGCTCCGATATCATTCGGGAACTGTGGAAGGCCACCGGTGAACTCGGTGCGATGCTGTGGTACAATAAGATCCGCAAAATGGACGAATATTTGGTACGTCTCATGCGGCTGTTCGCGCACTGTCATGCGCAACTCATTGGAATTGACCCCGGGCTTCATATGCATTGACAGGCAGATTTAGAGATCCTCATCGCGAATGTCCTCGACATTTGGGTGCTCATCGACCCGAATAGAATCCTCACCAAAAATAAGCTTCACGTTCTTGCCCATCTGATAGCGAATATCCCCCGGTTTGGTCCAGCGATCTTGTATTCCACTGAAGTCTTCGAGTGCTGGAACGCTATTTTCCGGTTCTGCAGTATCCTCTCAAATCATAGGGCACCAAGCCGTGACATTGCTGTGGTGTTGGCCGATATGGAACGTTTCAAGCATCAGGTGAGCGGCGGTTGGTGGCGCAACTCTGCGGGTGAGTACGTTCAGGCGGGGGAAAGAGTTTGCACATTCCTGCAGGAGAATCCCAGTCTACAGCGTCGTCTCGGCTGGGTAGAGAATCTATCGGCCATGCTCGTAGTTGGTGAGTACAATAAAGTTGTCATGACAATGACTCACGAGTTCGACTGATTTACCTATTCATGTGCCGGTTACCAGGCTCAGTGAAGCTAGAGGCACAGTTGAAGCGACATCCGGCTAGTTGGGCTCAATCTATCGCACCGTTATCACTTCCGCCACCAACGGACAATGTAGCATCAAACTCCGACTCTTTACACACAGCTACTATCTTCCAAGAGTGCAAGTCTTTGGTCTCGCAATCAAAAGACATCTGTAAGCCGGGTTCGTGGGTATTTTTTAAGACTTCGCGAGACGTGACGCCTGTCGTTCCCAGCGAAATGGTGAGCGCAATGATCCATCAACTCTACTTACAATCTCAAGTAAATCTTGCATCTCCCTTTCCGCAGATTCCGGATGTGGGAGCAGGGCGTGTCTTCAAGATACTCTCCCCTGTTGGCGGCGGAGAAGCGGTTGCTGTTATCCAGCATTTCGATATCATGGGCAAACGGGATGGCTATCTGAATATGCCAATCCTTACTCCCAGTAACAGACCCCATCAACTCGTTGCACCAAAGGTACGCTCAAATTTGCAGTCCGAGGGTGCACTTGTAGGCTCCGTGTTCTCACAACCTATTCTTAAAGGATGTCCTCTTCATCTTCAATGCGCAGCATGATTGCTATGCTTGCCATTGCACTACGGCCGGGCTGGAGCATGTCATTCAAGAGCGAGTAGTCACTGCCCGGACCCGACTCCATGTCACGCACGCAGAAACACCGCGTTACCTGCTTAACATGCATGCTCTCCACAACGCGGACCTGATTCGCGAGACCTTACCGCGAAATCTTACAGAGCCTCAGTATTATCTCGCCGACCGCCAGGTGCAGCACTGCCGTATTGCCACCGCTCTCCGCGTCACTGGTAGTGTCCGAAGGAAACAAATAGCAGCTAAAGCCGCCGAGACTCGCGCTCGTAACAAAGAGGCTCGCGCAACGACTGCCCCGAGTCGCAATGCTCAACTGCGGGACGAAAACAGCGGCAATGACCCGCCTAATGCAGGTTCGCTATCCAAGTTTCATATGTACATGTTCGAACGACCTGATCAAATCGTAGAGCCAGGAATGGCCAACGAAGACGTCGGTACTGGGGCGGACGACGATGTGGAGATGGAAGACCTGTCCTAACATATACATGCCGCTTTTCTTATGTACTCCATTCTCGGAGTCACACCCG